ACCTCCACCCTCTCCCCCCCCCCTCTTGTTTTGGGGGGTTTTTGTAGATAATTACCTCCCCCTTTTTCTTAAGGCTGCCAAGGTTGAGGAACCCTGATCTAGTCAATTTGATCAGTTGCCATTACAGTACTGCACCTACCTGGGATCTTCAAATAGATTATGAAGGGTTTCAACTTCTTGCTCCCCTACAATAAAATCTTTATCTGCACTTTTTACTACAAAATAAAAAATAGTTCTTAGTTAAGTCTGTATAATAAAGTATAATTTGTATACATAGTGATATGGTGCTGCAAAACTAAGAGGTAAATATTGCTGATTTTGGAATAAATGATTTGAGGATTACAGCCTTCTTTATTAAATACTAAAATTAAATACTGTTAAATATTAAACACTAAATATTAAATACTCATATTAGTTCCATATGAACAGCAATATAAATTTATGGAAAAGTACATTTTTTGGAAATGTTTTTTTGGAAATGAAAGTTTTTTTTCCCCCATAAATACAGCTCTATGCTGTATAGGTTAGAGCTAGACTTAGGCAAAAGTTGACTTTTTGAAATCAGTAAGACTTTAGACATTATTAAAGTTCCACTGATTCCAATGAATATAGTATGATGATCTTTGAGTTGAACTCTGTATTTATTTTACATATTGATGTATTAACATTAGTACTACTTTAAATGTGCAGCAGTATAACCTACATTTAGATAACTTCTATTTATTTTCCTTTTTAGAACTTTACCCTTAATCCAGAAAAATGAGTATAACATTTTTGAATTAATAGTGTTAAATGTGGTATATCTTTATGTTCTTACCATTTTTTTCTTCTGGTTCATCAGATTCTGGAATACTTACTGAAACAAAGGAACAACAACAACAACAAAATAAAGCTGCTGATATCTAAAAGTCACCTTCAAAATTTCCATCTATTATGATGTTTAACAATCTATATTTCAGCTGAGCCCCAAATGTTCTTAATGCAGCATCAGCCACATAACAAAATGATTAATCTTATTTTTAAGGCAGCAATCTTTATTTTGTATCTATAATGCATTCTGTGAAAGTGCTTTATTCTAAAAATGACAAGTTTAATCTTATAAATGCCTAGTCAGAAGAAGTATTTATGTGTTATTCTGTCATGCATTCTGACTTTTCATCACTTTATTACTGTAGAGAGAGAGTTGATTAAACTTTAGCACCATTGGATGAATTTAGAAAAACGTTTTTTGATCAACTCTTCTGGAGTCCATTCACAGACTGAGAAGGGCATCAAATAATTCATGGGAATTGCCTTAGATAGCCTCATTGCAAATCCCATAGTATTGACTGCATAACAGAAAATGATATAATTTATATATTTGGGGAATTTGGACACGGTGGATAGTACAAAAATGTTCTAGATATAGAAGTAAATCTTTATAATAGGATAAGCTTATTCTTTGAATAGTTAATAATTTGTATAGCTAGGTAATTGTTTACTGTGCAGAAACTGTACACTTATTTATTTGTTATATTAAGTCCTCACATGTTCTTTTATATTTCTTGGAGACAGCATGCTAAAAATAATCAAAGTTCAATGCTGGCACAAAAGAAACAGATAATTCAACAGTAGCATTAATTACTGTTATGATTTCTTCATATTGTATGTAGTTGTGTGTTAAAGGGACCTACTGAATATGTTGTATGATTTAATTAGTGACAATGACTATAGTTCTTCTTGTCACGCTCAAATTGTGTATTGGGTTCATAGTGCATATTCATCCATTAGTTTCTTTCTTAAATAAAAGCACAGGAAACTTGGATCACAAAGTTTCCTTCCCATTCCTATAGCAAGAAATTGTGCACAGTTGGTAATCTCTTAAGGAAAAAGGACTGGTTTAATAGAATGATTCAAAGTGAATTGATAATATAAAATGTTCATCAGAGTGCCACTACAGAACCTATTTTAGAACCACTGCTAAATTGCATATTCAATAATAGCTGCTTTTTCATTAGTCCTATGCTGAATAGAAGAAAAATGAAAAGCTCAAAGACTACATGCACTGAAGAAGAGTGACTGACTATCATTAATGGCTCTTGGTTCTGAGAGCACCCTAAATTACATTTAAAAAATGAAAACAGAAACTTCTCAACGTATTCTGTTATAACCATACATTATGGAGAGATAATTTACTCCAGGTCTGAAGTAGCATTGTTTTGATTTAAAACTGGTAACTGGTTGTCATCTTAACAATACTCTACCATAGCAGCAAGTCTCAATGAATTCAGTCGAATGTATTTCTTGGTTAATTACACTAACCTATTTATTGAACAACCAAGGGGAAGAATATGTCCATATGGAACAGATGGAAGGAAAACTTTGCATTTCCATCTCTTCTACCCTGTTACTGTGATGCAAGCAAGGCTTGGATTAGGTGGTTCCTCTGCTTTTAGATGTCCACCCACCTATAGGATTGCTCTTTTAAGAAGAAAACAGGTAGTTCTCAGATTACAAGAATTTAAAAAAATGACAGAAAATGAAATATGAAAAACCAAGACACCATGAACTCTGATTTATTGTGGAATTTGATAGTATGGAGACTTATCAGCTAGCAGTGTGTAAGTACAACCACATTCATTTGCATTTCTGTGGATCTTCTGGAAAAAAATAACAAATATCAGAAATTGCCACGGTGAAACAGTTCTAAGAAATAAGATGCTAATATACACTCTTTTTTTGTCAATGGGAGGACAATGAAGCAACTCATAAACAAATTTCTAACATGGAGCCACTCACAAGAGAACAAGCATAGTAATAGCTGTTTATGTAAAGGTACATGGATAATGAAAAATGATCACCCTTAGTCTTTTTCTCATCTCTCTCTCTTTTTAATATATTAACAATAAATAGATGTACTTACTAGCAGATACATTCAAAGAGGTCACAGTTCTTTCTAGTAGATTTTCAGCAATACAGGTTAATGTAACATTCTCTTCAGGAGCAATTCTGATTTTACTAATAAATTTTCCATTGACATATTTAGTCTCTTCTGTCTGGAAACAAATTTTTTAAAAAGTTATTTAAGTAGAAAGAACCTGCAGGGACAGGTTTGTGAGTGTGGATGCCTACTCACTTTTAATTACTCTCTTTGACTAAATATTTATCTTGATGTATGTGTCTGTGTACACAGCAACTTGTTTTAAGACTTATCCTGTAGGTTCATTTCCATCCATTACTTAGTGTATATCTGCAGCTGTAGTCTCCAGATCTACAGCTTTCTATTTTCTATTACAAAATTCTCCCTGAGAACTTTATTATTGGGATGGTTTTGCTTTGTTTTTTGTGCCTTTGAAACAGTCTTGACCCCAGCAATTCTATGGACTGGTCCACGCATTTTTCTTGGCAATATTTTCAGAAGTGGTTTGCTGTTGTCTGCTTCCCAGGCTGAGAGGGAGTGACTAGCCCAACATCACCCAGTTGGCTTCATGCCTAAGGCATGACTAGAACTCACAGTTCTCCGCTTTCTAGCCTGGTGCTTTAACCACTGGTTTTCTTATTGGTTATTCATATATATTAATAAAAGTCTTAATTTGCATAGTTTATGATCCAGTTAATTCCATAATATATATAAATTAAAGGTAATTTACCCTATTGAAAAGTCAGTGCAGTTTTGGTGACAATATTATACATGCTGGGAACTGTTGAAAACCTTGTGCCTTCCCTTGGCTGTGAGTATGACTGTGCTTTGTTACATTGTTTTTATATTATTGGTTGTTTGATTTGTTTTTTGTCTGCTTTTTAATTTGTTGATGCACACTACCCAGAGTCATAAATTATGAGCTGGGTGGCCTTGTAAATTATTTAAACACATAAATAAACTTTTTGTAATTAATTTCTAAGCAAGTATTTTTACGAGGGTACTACACCTTCATTTTCTTTTCTACCTTTTTGTGGCTTAAGTTAATTGTATATTGATACAGGTAGTCCTCAACTTATGACCACAACTGGGACTGGAACTTCCATCACTAAACGATGCAGTCATTGAGTTGCACCCAATTTTACTTTTTTGCCGTGGTTGTTAAGTGAATCACTGTGGTCATTAAGTGAATCACACAGTCGTTAAACAAATCCGGCTTCCCCCATTGACTTTGCTCATCGGAAGCCCCCTGGGTAGGTCCCAAATGCTGATCGTGTGACCCTGGGATGCTGCAACCATCGTAAATACATGCCAGTTGCCAAGCACCCGAATATTGATCACATGATCGTGGGGATGCTGCAAAGGTCATAATTGTAAGGACCAGTCGTAAGTCACTTTTTTCAGTGTTGTTATAACTTCAAATGGTCATTAAACAAATGGTCGTAAGTTGAGGACTACCTGTAATGTAGTAAGTAACTAGAGAGAGAGCGCCATCTGGTGGGACCCAGGAAGAAAGCCTCTTCTGCCATGGTACCCACCCTCTGGAACATCATCCCCCCCAAGATCAGACTTGCCTTGACCCTGCTGACTTTTCACAAAGCATTAAGAACCTGGTTTTGCCATCAAGCCTGGGGCCTAATAGCATGGGTGACTCCACGTCTTGGTTATATTGGTTGTGGGATGCTGTGAGTGTTCTCAGCTACTATTTTATGGTATTTGTATTTACAATTACTCTGTTTTTATCTGCCCAGAGTTATATATATGGCTTGGGCAATGATATAAATTTATTAAAAGAATAGATAAAACACATTACATTATTTTTTTGTTAACATTTGTTTTTAAATAATACTGTATTTACAGAAATTGAAATGAACATGCAAACAATAATGAGAAAATTACTTGCTTTATTTATGACTCCTCCACTGCTAGTCCACTGTACTGCAGGTTTGGGAAATCCTTCTACGTGACAGGCTATAGTTTTATAAGATCCATCTGTGCTGGTTCTCTTTGACATTTTGATCTGAGGCTTTCCTTAAAATGCAAAAGAATTTTTAAAATCATTTATTGATTTATTGCTACATTCTTAGTACTGAAGCACTAAGAGACTCAACACCAATCAAAATACAATTATTAAACAGTACAAATTTGAAAGCAATTAATTTAGATATTCAAGCCCATTTTTTAAAAAAGTATGTGTGTGTATGTATGTACACACACACACACACAAGCTAAACTGGATAAAATACTGTTATTTCTTAAAAGCTAGCCAAACTCTGTTTTATTATATTTCTATTTGCAGTGTTAGACTTTGATGGTTATTTTATATCTAATGGGCATTTCATAATTATGTACCAACATACAAAGTAGACACAACAGTATGAGATGGTAAGAGTCTACATTACCTTGTACTATCAGTGTCAGAATTTGACTTTTCTTTAAGCCTTCAACTTCCTGTAAAGTTGTTTCACAGATGTAATTTCCTGCATCTTGGTACTGCAAACTTGAAAAAGAAGGACTTGACCGCATTCTGTTATTATCCTGTAAAAAAATTGCCCATATCCTTATATATAATAACCTATTTTCTTCAAGGAAACAACAACAAAGTCCTTCAACACAACTAGTTCCAGTTAACCACTTAGACAGTAGTAGCAGACAATTTTTATTGTTTCTCCAACCGAACTGTATTTAATACTAAATAAAAACAACACATATTTACATTATCTGTCATCAAAAATAAAGTAAAATAAAATAAACTATTGCTGATTTTTATGTTTTAGAAAAAATAATACAGTACATCTTGACTCTTATTATTATATTTATCAATAAGAATATTTTTATCTACTTTTCAATCATATATTTGTCATTGGAACAGGTCATAGCAATGTAATCCCCTCTCCTAAAACATTTCACATATGTACACATTCAGTAACTCTTTATTCCCCAACCAATTAATAAGGCCAGTTAATGTTTTCTTTCTAAATTTCCACTCCTAGAAAATTAAAATTGAAACTGAGTTTTCAGAGTTCTTGTTCTTCTTGCTCTTATGTACTTCTGAAATGAAAAGGGTGTAAGTACACTGTTGTCCTTTTGCTTTCTAGCTGGAATGGTCCAGTTTTATTTCCTTTATCACTGAAATCTTAGAAACTTTCTCTCATTGATGTGGTTTGATAAGCATAATATCACAATCAATAACCAAATGTCAATTTTTAATGGAGACTAAACTACAACACAGTCTACAGAAGAATATGTAATTATACTTTAAGAAAGACAGGTTTCAGTGTGATCTAAAAAGAGCATTACAGATATGACTTCTGAAACAGTATTATCCAGCAGGAATAGGATGCTTAGGATAAGAGACATCATGTAGGTGGGCTTGTAATGTCCTTCAATAAATTTGAAGTCAACAGATGGCTGTCTAGTCTCTGTTTAAACACATCCAGTAAAGAGAAGCCCACCTGTTTTGGGGGTAATTAGTTTTAGGCCTAAACAAAGTGATTTAGATTTACTTTAATGAAAAGCACACAGTTCAGAGTCAACCTGATTTTCTTCATCAAAGTGAAGAGACAATTGCAAATATGCTTCAACTTTGCATCTTCTTGAAACCTTTCAAATGTCTCTTACATGGAGGTGCACTGGATCTGGCAGGTGGCGGCAGAAATAGTTGAGAGGACAGCACTGCCTTGAACCTACTCTCAGCATTCTTCAGAGCTTACCAAAGCCAGAAGAGACTTCTGTGCAAGTGTTATGCTGAGGAGCAGCTGGGAAACTGAGCAAACAGAAGCAACGTAGTTGCTGTTTTTCATTGTTTAAAGTTAAAGGGCCATATTGGTTCATGAAGCCATTTTATGGGAGATTCTCATTCAAACCTTCAGGAAAGTAAATACCTGCTTGAGGATCTGACAGCTTTAACTGGTTCTGGGTCAGGCTGCTCTAACAGTTAGGAAGCTTTTCCCAAGATTGAATAAATTTAACATTACGTTAAATGCAGATATAAGATTGCAGGGAGAATCATCAACAACCTCAGATATGCAGACAATACCACCCTAATGTCAGAAAGTGAAGAAGAACTAAAGAGTCTCTTGATGAGGGTGAAAGAGGAGAGTGCAAAAGCTGGCTTGAAACTCAACATTAAAAAAACTAAGATCATGGCATCTGGACCCAGATTGCTCATTGGAAGGATCGATAATGAAGCTCAAGCTCAGATACTTTGGTCACCTAATGCGAAGAGAGATCTCTTTGGAGAAGACCCTGATGCTGGGAAAGATTGAAGGCAAAAGGAGAAGAGGATGGCAGAGGATGAGATGGTTAGATAGCATCACTGAAGCAATGAGCATGAAACTGAGCAAACTCAGGAAGGCAGTGAAGGGATTGCTCATTGGAAGGATCGATAATGAAGCTCAAGCTCAGATACTTTGGTCACCTAATGCGAAGAGAGATCTCTTTGGAGAAGACCCTGATGCTGGGAAAGATTGAAGGCAAAAGGAGAAGAGGATGGCAGAGGATGAGATGGTTAGATAGCATCACTGAAGCAATGAGCATGAAACTGAGCAAACTCAGGAAGGCAGTGAAGGGATTGCTCATTGGAAGGATCGATAATGAAGCTCAAGCTCAGATACTTTGGTCACCTAATGCGAAGAGAGATCTCTTTGGAGAAGACCCTGATGCTGGGAAAGATTGAAGGCAAAAGGAGAAGAGGATGGCAGAGGATGAGATGGTTAGATAGCATCACTGAAGCAATGAGCATGAAACTGAGCAAACTCAGGAAGGCAGTGAAGGACAGGAAGGCCTGGCGCAATATGGTTCATGGGGTCACGAAGAGTCGGACACGACTTAACGACTAAACAACAACATAAATGCAGATAATATTATTTTGCACATGTTTAATAACGTCCTCCTTCTGCATATTAAACATACAATTTAGGAAACAATTTTAGAAGGGTTCTGAAGTCTGTACAGAATTATTTCAGAGGGGTACTTTTGGTCTGGCCTTAGGCTATGCACTCCATATCATTTAGGCCCTTATGAACTTTAAAGAATCACCATTCCAGATACAGGAATTTGTTAAGAACAGCCAAATTAAAATTACTTACCTTCAGCCAGAACACGGTAGCATTTCTACTGGAAGAAATTGTACAGGATACAGGCAATGCTTCTCCAATCTGTTTAATAACTTCTCCACTGGGAGTAAGTGACAAATCCAAATCTATGGTGAAGAAATTCAGGATTGTCATTCAGGTTCATAAATGTTGCTTACTTAGGGAGTTTAAAAAAAAGCAAAAAGAACCATTTGATAATTTCAGTTAAAACTGCAATTTCTCAAAGTCTCAGTCAACTACTTTTCACAAAAGGACTGAAAATAATGTTCAGAAGAATACAGCAGAAATATTTGCATGTGCTATATTTGTGTATATATATACTGTATGTGTGTGTATGTATGTGAGAATGAATGTGCGTGTGTGGGTAATTATTGGGTAGCATAAAATGAAACACTTCATTTTTTACTTCAAGAAGATTTTCACAAAACAAAAATAATATGTGAAATGAGAAAATGGTAAGAAGTATTCTATCTGTGTAATTTTTCTTTAAAGAAACAATGTTTAGAAGAATTAAGAGGCATTTTCACACAACTTCTTCCTCCTTCAGGCTTGCATTCATAATATATTCTAGCATTACAACAGCTTCAGAATTAATTAGAATGAATTAATTCAGTTATTAATCCATTCACTAAGCACCACCAGCACCATCAAATTTACTGGGTTTGTTGTTAAAACTTTTTAATTCAACATTGCCACACTGTCAGAATTAGAATGAATTTTAATTCTCATGGCACATATTTATTATTCCTATCATAGCTTACTACTAGTGATTTTTAGTCTTTTAGTATCTGTCCTTCTTCATGTATCCCCCCGCTCCCAGTTATTATTGTTTTAAACAATGTTAGATGCATGTGGGTAAACATATGGACATTCTTTGGCTTTGTAAAATCGTTTGTACCAAAAGGTTTAATACTTAAATCTCAGAATTGTTCTTTGCTTATCTCATTGAAAGTAGGAAACCTCAATTCCCTTGAGAATGTAGAAGAGTCACTTCATCTACATTTTTACTGCACAGTTGTAATGAAGAAACCAGAGTAAGCATTTTAGAAAGATGAAAAACACAGAACTTTATGTTGCCAAAGTAACTGACATTGCTTATAACTAGTTATACCTGTGTATGACTGATACGGGACTAATTTTTCTACTTCCCTTATCTACTTTGGCACTTGCTTACCTAGCAGATCATAAATGTAAACAAACAATACAGTAAGTCCTTATTAAAATCTATGGTGTTTCTTTTTTCCTTCCCCACAACAAATATTTTCCACAGTTATAAAGCACAGGACAAAATAACTTATCTCCATAACTTAATGGAGTTAGTATTAGTTAAAAGTAGTATTAATCAGCAGAGGAACACCTGGGGGGGGACCCCACTAACTTTGAGCAGAGACTGATCTGGCACACTTTAAAATTCCTGTAGTTCTTTAAGCACACTGTGGCAATGAAAGTAGGTTGAAGAATGGTATGTTCCCAGAACAGGGTTTTTTTTTTAAATGTTTCCTTGAATCCTTATTATATTATTTGCATCTATCTATCTGTCTGTCTGTCTGTCTGTCTGTCTGATATTATAAACATTGAAACCCTACAATGGCATACTCTTCTGCCTGGTGTACCAAATGCTCAATAGTCACCATTGACACTATTACATGACAGGAGTTTTCCCCATTTCCATATGGTGGAAATAAAGACAGATGCTTTGACACATTCTGTAGTGCAAAGTTGATTTCTTACTTTCTATGATTTCTTTTTGGGTGATTTAAAAATTATACACTACAGATTCTCAATTTTTAAAAATTACTGCTAGATCATTGAGAGATCAAAGTTGCTATATTTAAAAATTACCAAATTTTAATTTATTGTATACCACTTAGATTAAATTTTCCATAAATTCAGGGTGCTACTGCATTGATATCTGATCTACAGGCATGGAAGCATAAGTAAAACACTTATTGAAGTGCTTAAAAATATTTACACCACTGTGTTTAAAATTAGAAAGAAGAGTGAGATTGATGTGTGTCAATGCATAATTTACCTTAAAGCTCCATGAAATTTAATTTTACTTGATATGCCTAGGATTGCACTGTGAAAATGTGAACAACTGAGCAGAAGTTTCTTAGGAATCTCTCCTGTCAGCACAAGAGCCTTGTGCTACCTACCGCCCAAGGTAAAGATTATGGGGGGAGGGGGAAAACCTTGAGTAAGAAGATAATAGGAAACAGATCACTCAAGTCATGCTTGAACAGGTCTCTAGCTGATACTTACTAAGAACACCTTATCTGAGAGTTTGCATTGTGGACTCCATTCTCTTAAATTTCTATCCCACAACCCACATTCCTGGTGGATTTTCAGGAGATTCAGAACAGGAAAAATAAACAAACAAATAAATAAATAAATAAAATCCATAGTTCAATTCATAATTGTATTAAATGACAATTCAATGGTTTCATGAACAATGGAGAACATTACTAATAACAGCATCTATATAATACCTGAATGTGAAATATAATTTGCTTTAGAGAGAGAAAGAAAAGGGGAGAACTGTCGCTTTGGGAGACTTTCCAAATACAGAAGGATAATTTTTATTAGAAGTAGTACATTGGACTACACACAGCCTTGTTCTAATATAACAGCATTCTTATTGTTAGTAGATGCTTTACTCTATTTAATATGTCACAAGCATTTTTTTATAATTAATGAATGTGAAGAAAAGAGTTCCTTTATGATCATCTATACATCTAGGACAAACACAAGAAATTTAAAATATACAGTTGTATCTTTCACTACAAATAATCTACAGAATCTCAAGTTCTGAACATGTAGAATTTTTTAATTTTTTAATTCAAACATCTGAATTCCCAGAGATGACTGAAATATAATATATTCACATGTTGACTGACTATAATGTTGAATCTGAAACTTTTTCTAAGAAAAAAATAAAATGCTAAACTACATCTAGAGTAAAAATGAAATACACTTTTTTTTTCTAAATGGTTGTCTTTTCAGTTTCTCTTTAATGCATTACCCAATTTTATTCACATTTATCTTCATCTCCTTGAATCATACTTAAGTAGCTTGAGATTGTCATTTATTTTCCTATGATAAATCTACTTCCAAATTAATATTAGCTTCATATAAAAGAGCTGCAGTATTGAACTGATTAAATGGTGTTCCTGATATAGCAATAGCAGAAATGTGTGTTTGTGTCTGTGTCAGAAACATACAGTGTGGGGCGCAAAGACCGCATGTGGCCCCTGAAAGCCTTGGTCCAACTCCCAGAAACTTTCAATAACCAAATAATAATTTTTGATCTGACAGAAGGGGGAAATTATTAAATTTATGACCAAACAATAATAATGCTAAACATTTAAAATTTATAGTTCAGTTAAGGTTGTCCTGCTCCACCCATTATTTTTGGAGTGTGACGAAAAGCCATTTGTAAATCCTGGCCAGGAAAACATACAAAATACAAGTGGTGAGCATTCAGAAGCAAATCCTCTTTACAAAGATATTCATTTTTTGCATTTTAAAATCTCTTTTAAGAATGTGCCTACTTTGATACAAGCATGCACAAACTAAAAACAGGATTTTTTTCCCCTTCAGAAATACACTTTTATTGATAAGCATACTGACAGATTTATTGCTACATGAACTAAATCCTATATGGTTAAGCAAATATCTGAGAGAAAACCTACAGGTATATCAGCACAAGCAGAAATAAATCTCTGCCACATTCTTATTCCACTCTAGGTGAGGTTAAAAAGTGAGAGTTTTTGTGTGCTTTGGGTTGAATTATTTCCTGTGAACCCAAAGCACTCATGACAATTTTGTTTCTGATAGTGTATTTTATTAACTTGGCCCCTGGATTTTCTCTGTATCCTTTCAGGTCATGTGACAAATGGGGATTGGCACATGAGGCATTATTTTAAGAGCCAGACATTCCTTGCACACATCTATTAATTCCCCTATATAATAAAGGAATGCTAATAGGAAAAGTAGGATTATACTCATAAGCAAGTGCACCTACTGTATATCAACAACATTTCCTGACATCTAGAAACATTAAAATGCAGAAGAATAACAACTGAGGGAAGCCCCTTGCAATGGACCATCCCTAGCCATACATCTTGTGTGACTGACAATTACAGTCCTTATGCCTTAACTCTGGGATCTCTCTCTCTCTCTCTGTTCCTCCCAAATAACAAGACCACCACATTATAACTGTGGAATAATATGATGTTTGTTCTCTTTATTTATGCTTTAAGCAATCCAAATGTTAAAGTTCATAAAATAAATTAATATTTATATTCTACATGAAATTTGAACATCAATTAATCAGTTAAAAACAAAATCAGAACATTAGAGGTAAAAGAGAAAAAACAAAAAGATGAATGGAACAAATCACACCTCTGAACTTTTAAAATAAGTCTCAGATATGCATTTTTAAAAAGTCTTGGCTTAGCTCTGATAGAAACATCCATGTGTGATTTGATCAAGAGATAAAGAGCGTGGCAAAAACCTTGGCACATATTACAAAATGATATACAACTGTAAAAAGGAATGAAAGAAAATGACTTACAATGTACTGTAACTGTAGTGGAATCCATCAAACTTTCATCAGTCAGAGAACATCTGTATTCTCCTGTCGCATTTCTTCTTACATCAGTCAATACATAAAGACTGGAACTTCTAATTGGTTCAGGCTCTCCCTTTAAAAAAAGGTTGAATGGAAAAGTTTGCAATATAGGAAAACAAGATGTCTGCTTATATTTTCTGTAGAACTTTTGTAGAAGTTTACTTATGCTTTCAGATTATTTTGTGTTATTGTGAGTCTCTTACTCTATTTATCTTGCTAACTTTTATGTAAAATTTATGATGACAAAGATACACTGCATTAGTACAAATTTAAGAAGCAAAACTGAATGAAATTTAGAGGAAAACTAAAAATAACTGGGGGGGGTAGGAATGGAAAGATGTGAGACTGATTAATTAAATAAGTGATACATAAACAGAATAGTGTGAAAAAGACACTCTCCTATCTAAATCAAATTGTGCCTCCCACAAAACTTAGGCTTTACAGATAGGCAATACTTACAGGGATGAAAAATAAGAACTCCTGAGGTGGAGGATTACCATTTCCTGAACATTTTAGGGTAATGTTATCACCTTCCTTAATTGTATTTCTTTGTGAAAGAATCTCAATCTGAACCTTTTCTGTGGGATCTGTAAAGGAACATAAACCAGCTAATAACCCGACTCTTTCCCAAATACATGAGAGGGTAAAATAAATCTGTATGAAGCAAGGGCAGTGGAACATTATGCATCAAGAAGTTTGTATCACATAAAAGTGCTGGGGCTAGCCTTAAGTCACCTTGGCAAAATATATTGTGGTCATAACTGGCAAATCACCTGTTTGTTCGACAGTCTTGATTCAGCCCTTCTAGTCTTCCTCTCCAAATGGTGCTATCAAGTCTTACATCACCACCAACTGTTTAGTGGCTGCATATACAGCATAAATGTGAAACATCACTGAAGAACCTTCCTGCATTTCAGGAAGACCCAGATATACAGCTTTTTTTTTTTTTTTTGTGGTCCTTAAGTTACATATCCAGAGAATACCCACTTTGGGAAAAGCTACTCAGACACATATATACATGGGATGAAACTCCATCACCCAGCATCTGGTTGTTTTAGCTCTAAGTCAAATATTAGGAAACACAAGCGTACAGCAGATTTAACTCTTGCTTCTTACCTTAAAGGAATAAACACCCTTTCTGAAAAGGGGAAAGACAAGACAGTGCAAACACATGTGTGTGCATGAATACATATATTTATGCTTCTCTGATTTTTGGAAACTGCATCATTTGTGCAAAACCTATCTTAAACCTACTATCATTTATCTGACAGTAAAGTGTTAGCTTTTTAATTTTGTAAACCATTCATGAACTTACAGTAAATGTCAAAGACCGCTGATTCTGATCGTATCATCTCTTGTCCAGTTGGCCCAAAATATGTCACTGTGCAGGTGAACTGTGCACCAGTGTCATCCTTTGTTGGTTTATATTTTAGGGAAGATTTGATGGTGTAGAGTCCACTGGCTTTATCTACATCTGTTTGTTCATTTATGACAACAGCTTTTAAAAGAAAAAGCATGATTTTCACAAGATTAAGGATATTTGCAAACATACAGTGTAAATTCTACATAAACATGTAGAAAAGCCTTTATCCAATAGCGATTCACTTTAGGATTTCCAAATGGAAGTAACACTGACTTTGCATATGTCTAATCCTAAATTTATTCATTTAAACAATTTAGATACTGACAGTTGTAACTCGGGGCAGTCCACAAAAAATTAAAATGTAAAACTAAACATAATATACCAGATAAAACCCTAAAATAATAATATGCATCTGCATGCTCAGATCCCAAACAATCTAATTTTAACATACAGTCAATAAATAGGCTGGTTTAACTTCCCAGACCAAGTGCTTGAAGCTCTTAAATGTCTTATGAAAGACTAGAACGATCAGGCAGATCTCATTCATAGGGCAGGTACTACAACAGAGAAGGCATCACTTCTAGGCCTCACAAGATGAAATTTCCTAATGGAATGGACTTGAAACATGCAAACCTGCTGGTTTTGGTGGGCATTTATTGACAGGGCTTAGCTATTGTATATTACTGGTAGATTATATTTTAAACATCATGTTATTGTTCTTCTTAGCATTTGTCCCACATAATTGTTTCAGGGTCCATTTGTGTTTTACACTGCACTTGTTTATCGATGCATGATGCAACAAAGAGGATTGCCCTATCAGCTGGCTTGAAGCTCGTTTGGACTGAGAGGAAGTGACTGGCCCCAGGTCAGCCAGCTGGCTTTTGGGCCTAAGGAGGACTAGAATTCAAGGCTCCTCATCTAGCACTTAACCATTACACCATACTGACTCTTAGATTAGACATTAATAATAATACTTTTAAATAACTACTTTAGGTTGTGTCAACAATTATTGGAGAAAAATGTGTCAAAAGAGTACAACAAAATCCAACCGATATTTTTACCATGTTAATTACAGCATTGTTAACAAGGCTAATGATATCCATGCTTAGAATAATCTTAGTTCAAACTAATTTGTGAAGATACCCAAGCATGCATGGAATACTATGCAGATACTTTTCAAAAACCTACCTTCTTCAGCATGTTGCAAAATAGCACCATTCTTGAACCATGTTATGTTTCCTTCTGGATAACCATCTTCTGTAATACATTCCCCAAGCTAAGAATTCAAATACACGAATTGTTATCAATTTCAGCTTACTGGAGATTGCATATTTATTTGTTCATACAGGTAGTCCTCACTTAAAGACCATTTGTTCAGTGACTATTCAAAATTATGACAGTGCTGAAATAATGGTACTTATGCCAGGTCCTTGAAGTTATGACCATTGCAGTGCCCCCGCAGTCATATGATCAAAATTAGGGCACTTGGCATCCTACCCGCATTTACAGCCACAGGGTGTGCTTCAACTTCTCCCCATCCATCTTCCCCCCATCTCTGCTCTGCACTCTGCCACCCCTGCTGTCCAGGGCCAAGGGCCAGGCCAGATATGCCTCGTCAGCAGCAGCAGGAGGAAGAAGACCGCAAAGGTAAGCTAGTGGAGGCAGGGGTGGGGGGGCGCAGGGCAACAGGGTGGTGGAGTGCAGGGTGGCAGAGCGCAGGGTGGTGGGGCAACAGGGGGCAGAGTGCAGGGTCACCAAAAGGGGAGAGATGGGGGGATATAGGCACGTGGGGGGAGTTGAAGTGGAGGCAAACACGGAAGGGCAGGAGAAGCGTGAGGTCGTGGCCTAACAACAGTGCGGTCCTGGTCTAATGACTGCAACCAGGACTACCAAAATTGACATTGCTAAGTGGTGTGGTCACATGATGTTTCACCTAATTACTACATTGCTTAGAGATGGAAATTCCAGTCCCAATTAGGGTTGTCAAGCGAGGACTACCTGTATATTTAAAGGTATTATTTCCAACACATCTATTCCTCTATACCATTATAAAAGACGTTTTCCTCATAACTAGGGACAGTAGTAACTGTGCTGCAGATGACTTGCTTTTTATGCATTTACAATTCCTATATACTAGTATAGGATTCACACTAAACTCTGCTCTGCCTTATCTGAACTGTCTGGATTGAGAAATCACATTTTATTTATTTCCCATTTGAATTTAGTATTAAAAGGGATATGAGTTTAAAAAAAAAAGGAAATAAAATTCCTCTGATTCTCTAGTGGCTACTAACTCCCAGGATCCCTCCCCAAATATCAAATGCACAAAATAACTTGACCCTGAAATGTTTGATCTCAGAAACATTAGTATACTAAGATACCAATGGTTTATAATAAACATTTCTCTGATGGGAAGAAAATGTTATTTTCTTTTCTCTCTCTCTCTCTTCAAATTTCTATGAAAAATATAGGATGTCAGAAGGCCTTCCTGTTACATGGAGGGAAAATGCTGAACATTTTGTCTTGCACGTCTTCATTTCATGGAGCTGTGTACCCCAGATCTTGTACAATGGGATAGCTCACACATTCAAATAAATCAATGGCAGGGATTTGGATTCCAATTCTCTCTCGGTAGCATGATTAACCATTTGAGATTATGAAAATCTCAGCATCTGGAGGGTCACATTTTCCTCATTCCTCATATACTCTCTATTCATTATTTAATCCTAATATAGCTACTGGAACATGGATATATTATGAAATAAATGAAAGGATATTAGATATATGGATTGATTATCTGAACATTCTCAGTAAAATAAATGGAGATATCACTGGGCTATAAAGAAAATAAATCCTGCATGAAATTAAAAAATAAATCACATACATAAGATATCCATTAAATTATAATAACTATACCTATGAAAGCAAAGTCATGAATAGAATAGTTTTCCACATACAAATCCCGCAGATAAACCATGAAATCTTTATAAATTTTTAGATAGCAAATGTAGAAAATAATTTTGCTTGAAAAGTTATTGCTTATCAGTGTGAAAATTCTTTTATTTTTTAATAAAATATATTTTGAAGTCTCACCTAACAAACAAGAGCTACTTCAGGTTTAGTAGCAATTTGTTCCATAAATTAACTTCACCATGGAGAAAGCTATATTTCTCTACAAATCTGTAAAATCTGGCCAATTTAAGTAGGATGGATTTTTTTAGAAGCATATGATCCAATAAGTAGCACAATTTTAAGCCTTCTTTTAAAAATGTTTCTATTTTATAGCTATATTCTTTTCTGTGTAAATCCAAACATGATACTTGCCTTTGACATATTAAATTCATGTGAAAAACAGCAAAATAACACAGATGTCAGGTCCTGTGAGGCTGGTGAACTCAGAAATAAGAACAACCTGGATTTCTGGAAAGAGCTTTATTGCTATTAGTGTAACAGAATCTTGAAAGACTGTGGAAGCAATTTTCTTGCTCAACTTATACGTAATATAATTAAAGTGGACTTGCTCTGAGTCTTCCCCCCTTTGTGGACTGAAGTGTCTCTTTTACAACAGTCCCTTTTCTGTTCTACTTTCCTAGACATTCTATAACAATAGATCAATTTAAAGGTATTTAACAGGAAAAAATGTTCACTTACCATTTTTAGCTGTTCTGTTTCTAGAAATTCTGCTTGACTTACAATTTCAGGCTGTGATGGCTGCTCTGTATTTTTTTTTAAGTGAAAGAACAAAATGATAAAGACTTTGGTTATATTTCAACTTTCAGATATTTGGGATTGAGTCACATACAGGCAGTCCTCACTCAATGACTGCACTGTTTAGTGACAGTTCGAAGTTACAACATCACTGAAGAAGTAACTTTATGACTGGTCCTTGCACTTACGACTGTTGCAGCATCCCTGTGGTCACATGATTGAGATTGGGCACTTCGCAACCAGTGGTCATTTACAACCATTGCAGTGTTCCCACAGTCATGTGATTGTCATCTGCATGCTTCACAGCTGGCTTCCAACCAGTAGTCAATGGAGAAGCCAGCAGTAAAATCGCAAGCCGCATTCATATGATGTCTCGCTTAACGACTGGAGATGATTCGCTTAATGACCATGGCAGAAGTGAGGTCATAAGTCTGTTGCAGTCATGTGATATCTTGCTTATGAACCATGTCACTTAGTGACAGAGTTGCCAATCCCAATTGTGGTCATTAAGAGAGGACTACCTGTACACAGATTTTTTTCAACATGGAGGTAATCAGATCATGTGAGAAACTGAAAACTTCATTGCAATATATGTATATTTTGCTATTATTTATACAAAGAAGCAGAATGATTAGTTTGGGAATTGTGGAGAAGAAAAACATTGTTTTGATGTTACCAGATTGAAATGATGGCAAAGTGCTATCCAATATAGAAACTGAGGGCAATTGCATGATTGAAGTAGAACTGCAGAAAGCACATATTTGTGGGAAACCATAAATCAATTGTTAATCCTTCTATTGTTAGAAGGATCCTGGACTTATTAAAAAAATTCTTCCCCTTTTAAGACACAATTGCAATAGGCTCAAAGACCAACATCCTGATAAAAAATCCAAAGGGCTTTTAGTTTCCAAATGTCAGTTGTGTTGGCACTGATATAATGTAATTACTTGCTATGTAGGATTGTAATTGACAGCCTGAACATAAGGACAAGCTTGCTGTATTTGTCTCAAGTACAACGTTGCAGTCCATAGGCTACAATAAACATTTTATGTAGCATGACTGAGTAGAATAAGTTTTTTTTCTTTCTCTTTTAAGTGTGTACCTCAGATTTTTCATGGGTAGAAGAATAAAATAGATTTCCCAGTACATCCAGTAATCAACAGTGATTCTACCTCACCAAGGTATGAATATGGTTCATATTCATGGTTTCTTCAGAGGGAAAGACACATTAAAGGAAATTGTCCTCTTGATATTGTATACTTGGATTTTCAAAATGCCTTTGACAAAATGTCCATCAAAGGTCCTTACATAAACTTACTGAACATGGGATAAGAGGGTATGTTCTTTTATGAATTGCTAATTGATTTAAAAACAGAAAACAAAGAGTAAGCATGAATGGATCAATTTTTTCAATGAAGAGAATATGTGTTGGGACTAGTACTTTTTAACTTGTTTATAAATTATCTTGATTTAGGGGTAAGGAGTCAGCTGGCAAGTTTGTGGATGATACCAAATTTTTGGGGTAATGATAACCAAACAAGATTGTGAAGCTCTCCAAAATAATATTCCTAAACTGGATGAATAATCAAACAAATTGCAAAAGAAGTATACTTCAAAAGAAGAATAAAATAATACATATTGGGGTTCAAAAGATACCAATGATGGGGTCTAAGCCATCTGTAACTAACCAGAAAAAAAGATCTGTAAGTTGTATATATCAATAAATATGTCAGCTCAGTATGCAGCAGCTGAGAAAAAAGGAAATTCAACACTAGGAATTAAAGGAAAGGGCTTGAAAATAAAACAGTCAATATTATAATGCACTTATACAAATCTAGTAAGACTGCATCTGGGATACTGTGTACAATTCTCACATTTCAAAAAGGATATAACAGAACTAAAGAAAGTATAGAAGAGGCAACAAAAATCATCTGAGAACTCAAATACCTTCCTTATAAGAAAAGGTTAGAATGTTTGCTCCTCTTGAGCTTGGAACAAAGGTAATTCTCCTTTTCACAAAACACTAGGGCCATGGGCCATCCAAAGAAGCTGACTGGAAGGGGATTTTAAACAGACAAAGGAAATACTTCTTCATGCAGTACATAATTAACCGCGAAATTCATTACCACAGGATGTGATGATGTGCACTGACTTGGATGACATTAGAGGGACATTGAATAAATTAATGGTGGACAGTTTATCAACTGTCTTGAACAGTCAATGTTATCTCTGGTTGGAGGCAGCATGCCCCAAATACCAGATGCAAGTGAATAATATTAGGAGAGAGATATCTCCATTTCTTGCTTGTGAAAAGCCTAGAGACATCTATTTGGCAAATTTTGAGAAGAAAAATGCTCAGTTAAAGTGGATGCTATCCTGATTGCAGGGCTATTCTTATATTCTCATGGTAGATTAACCCCATGAAAACTAAAAATAGCTTGGAGATTAATGGAACAAGTATAATATTACATCTCTTCTCTCTTGTGCTAAATAAGATTTATTCCTTGAAAATATTTTTCCCCATGATCCCCCTCACCTTGCTTCATAGTTCCGAGATTTTAGTTTTTCAATGCTGTATGATAAGAAAAGTCCACTCCTTCTTACCACCCAGCATGGAAATAGAGCAAACAATATATCAAGCTATTATTGTTCCACATTAGTTTTTAGAGGAAACTTTCATGAAGAGTAAGTATAAAAACAATCTCTATATTGCTTTTTTATGCAGGTATACCTCGATACAAGTTCCAATGAAGTTATTTATTATAGTATGAAAGATTGTGTGCTCTTCCCCTCAACCCCTCAAGTTTTAACTACTGAGACTTTAGACCAGTGTTTCTCAACCTTGGCAATTTAAGATGGATGGGCTTCAACTCCTAGAATTCCCCAGCCAGCATACTGGGGTTGAGTTGAAGCCAACACATCTTAAAGTTGCCAAGGCTGAGAAACACTTAATTATACCATCCTCTCCCAGGTTGATGTTCTCCAGATGGGAGGTACTGAAAATCTCAGAATTCTAATCCACCATTGCTTCAGGGAGTGTTCAGCCTCTCATTTTGGAAGGCACCATTTTGGACAAGCATGGCAACCATAGGAAAAATGTTCCAAGAAGTGAGATGCTGAGAATTGCAGTTCAACAATATCTGGAGAATCACAGGCTACAATAAAATAGCTAGGACAAAAGTTCAATATGATACAAGCACTATGATTTCTTGTCATGTAATTTTCAATTTAGATCACAAGACAAACTACAATTCAGTGGCAATTTTTGAAGAGAGCTCTCGAAGGCTTTCAGTGGCCTTGACGTCATCCTTCTGTTAGAGGAATTAAGTGGTACTTACTGAAAACTTTGACGAGTATAGCCTGTTCAAAAACATTGTCTTCAGTTACAAGCATGCATACAAATTTCTTTTCATCTCCAATTCTTGCGTTATTAATGGACAGGGTATAATTTTCAGAAAGACTTATTCGGTCCTTGTATTCTGGTACATTGTCATAGTGTACATTTGTTTTTTTTGCAGATCGAAATGCAATAAACTCTGAAGCCTTGTTTGCAATTTCCTAGAGAGGGGAAAATATTTATTTATTTATCAAATTTATATGGCTGCTCATCTCACACAAAGTGACACTGGTGGCATTAAATCAAGCTCTCTTCTCTCTCTCTCTCAAATATTTTTATATCACTTCAACAATTCCGAGCCTAAACAGCTATTATTTATGTCCTCCATATGTAATACTTCATATTTACACAATACAAATTATGAACAAATAAAATACACTCAATTTTTCAAGGCTATTGAATCAACCTTTTATTTAAATACCTTACAGCTCTGGGGAATTATTGAAAGTAGAATACAAAGATTTGACCATTGTGGAACCCAGCTTTTCCCAACCTGGGTTCCCACAAACATGTGGACCAATTTCCAGAATTCTCAACAATGGTCCACACTGGCTCAGATTGCAGAAGAACTTCATAAGAAAATTCAAATTACAAAACTTATGAGTTTGCGAAACATTGATAATATAGTATATATTATAGATATATAGATAATATTTTCATTCAAAATATGAAAAAAAAAAACCCTGTGGAACACAATAACTGTTTGACTCAATTAATCCTTTTCTCAGTCTTGAATAGTGTCATTCCCCCCCCCCCCCAAAAAAAACCCACAAACAATTTGGTGGCAGCAGTCCCAAACTGGATCCTTGACTCCCAAACATTATCACCAGGATATGCCCAAGTTACCTCCTTGGAGTAATTACCCCCAGTTTAAGAATCACTGTAATGATCTATTCTTATATATGGATTCCAAAAGCTGTCAGTGACATTACAAAATATATTTATGTTGCATTGTAAGTAGCATAATTTAACATAAATAGCAAAGAACGTTTTGCTATGCAGCAACACAAAGTACTTGTAAATGCTGCTGAAACAGTTCTCCTGAACGAAGTTCAGAAATACACCCTGGAACTCTTAAAGATTCTCAAATTAGAAATCAAATTTGAATGCAGATGGTGAACAACTGTCCAGAAGCTGAATATGACTTATAGATCTTTTGGATCTGACCTACTGCACCGCTTTATCTTCTCATGTGGCAATTAGACATATGAGGAAAAATCAATTTCATGCAAATGGACCTTTTTCTTCATAAGCCTAAAGATAGTGTATGGGTGTACATGTGCAAATGCACACACATTTGTACATTACAAATACAGTGATATATTTATACATCTACATAGAAGAACCAATGATATGCACATAATGTTGGCAGTTGATATGGGTTTGACCCTTCCTATAGATTGCTACCCTGACACATTTTTAGGGACGGGGGAAGCATTCCACCTGCACGAGTGGGATCTTTAAAGAACAGAACAGCAAAATACATCATGGAGAGAAAAGAGGGCTAGAAGAAAATCGGCATTCCACCACCACCACCTACATCCTGTTTACTAATGATTCTGGATCTACCCAATTGTTGTGCCTGATCATTTCTCATTACAGAATAGAGTTCTGGAAATAAGAGAAGTTTTTTCAACCTCTAGTTAAAAGTTCTGTGATTTATTTTTCCTGCTCAGAAAGAAAATAATCCCTAGTTTTCATCCTTTTTTTTTTCTTTCAGCATTCCTATGTAGAAGTATAATAACAAATCACAAGTGGAATAAAAGAGGATTCACCTTCTCTGTGTATAAGTTTACACTGTCTAGGTAGGCCAGGCTGGGGACTATGTTTCAGCAGAAGTTTTTGGGGGAAAACAGGGATATACTGTATGAGAATCAAATCACAGACCAACTCTGCAGTATTATCTCCACAAAATAGGTTTATATGCCAAGTTGGGTCATCAGAACCAGGTACATTCCCAAAGATTAATTACATACTAAATATGATATTACCTGCAGCATCAAAGGCAAGTTGCTGCTCTCATATTTAGTTCAGTACTATTTAGTTCAGTACTATTGCAACAAAATACTGAATTAAATAGATTTGTCCTTAAGCAGCAGGAATTAATCAGGAAATCCCCAGTTCTTAAGAAATAAAAATCACTAAAAATCTGAAGATTCCTTTAACTTGATGAGTTTGAGATGTATTGAACTAAAAATGCAATGTATTTTGAAAACCACAGGCTGAGAAAGACTGATCTGAAATAAACACCTTGGTTATTCCTGGTAAAGCCTACAGAAGTTCCTGCCTTGTGCAATGAGTTACTACTGAATATGTGCTATCCAATCTCTTATCTTGTTTTCTTGCCTAGTTGGTAATAAGTGCTAAAATAGCTGGAAAAAAGTACCAAGGAGAAGTATTCAAAGCTTGGAAAACCCTGAGTTTTGCAGAAGAACAAATAATATTTAAAGTGAAAAAAGGAAGTTTAGTTGCCATCATTCTCCCTCCCTGAAATAAACCAATCAGAACTGTTATATTCAGTGAGTTAGAATTTGACTGGTGGTGGTGATGGCAATAGAAAACTCTCTGCTCATCTATAAGATGTTATATGCATACCCACAGAGAAGAGTCCTGAAGAAGGATGAAGAATCGGTTGGAATACTCAACAAGAGTTTGCTTCAGATCACACTTGTCAGTAACTATTTACTGAAGTCTTATCTCTTGGCCTTCTGGCACTTTCTGGTACTAATAAGTAAAGGTTGACCATTTTTCCAATCTTCTGTGTAGTGCACATAGTTTTGCTTATATCAACTCATATAAACATACCCACACTAACACAGACACAGTAATTCACCTCAGAACATTTCCTTGCCAAAGGGAAAAAAAATCACAACCATCACAAAATCTAGAAAACCTTTCTTTCTTTGTTGCTACAGAAAGCTACAACTGGATTTTTGGCGGTTGTTGTTATTGTTAATAGTAAGTAGAACAGGCTATTTGTTCTGCTTCCAGTATACTATGAGATGAGGTAACAACCTCAACAATTTTTATCAACATTCTGCTGGACCTGCATTGGGACTCCTTTATGCAGGCTGTGCATTTTCAGACACAGTATGACACACAACTATTGATTCTATGAACTTGTTTCATGTTGCTACAGTGAGCATGAGAAACAGCAGTGTATGAAACAGTCTGAGTGTAAGAAAAACATAGCAATAACCTTTTTTCCACAATGAAACATTTTGTTTAACAAGTATACAATCTGTTTCAAAATGACTGAACAAATTATTATGGTTCTTTTATCCTAATGAACACTAAGAACATATTCTTAATAAGCTTCTGCATAAAAATACCAAAGGACTTATTTTAAACACCACACATTTAACACATAATTTCAAAGACACGCTTTTGAATAATATTTTCATTAGTCCCACAAACTTGCTCCCACAATTGCAATAACAGAAATAATTTAAGATAATTTATACTTACATATTTCCATTTTGCAAACATAAGACCATTAGGAACTTCTAAATGGCAAGGCAAAATAATGGTATCTCCATATACTGTGTTTACTGTATATAATCCAAGTCCTATTAAAAATTAAAAGAAACAATGATTAATCACATATTATTGGAATGTTCTATGTCTTAGCTAAAATGCATATACAGTTGAAACAGATTTTCAAAATTCAGTAATTAATTAATTAATTGGTTAAAAACCACCTCATGTCACATTAAATATTTGTTGTCCTTAATTCACCACAATTCAAAATTAATCTGTGGGACGAAGTTGGCAAAATCCCTGTGATAGCAATTTTAGAACACTGAGTTCCACGGTCTGTGGAACATCCAACACAAGTCTGTAATTTGCAACATTTGCATAATTATATCTTCACACACATGCTATGATTTACCCCCCTCCCTTTTCCATCCCAGTGAACATGCAGAGCACAGTACAACTAGCTGAATTGCATGCTGTAGTAGAGTACGATTCTTTCTTATTAGTCAGTGGAGTAATTGATTAATGTATTGTGATATATTATTTGTTAATCAGAGAATGACAAAAGAAGAGAAAATGTTTCAATTCTAGCATACAGCATTCCCAGGTGAATTCTGGGTTCCTGGGAGCTACAGCCCTAACAGTGACCTAACTTAATCCTAGTAGTGTGGTAGGATCCTTGAAAGTTTTAAGTAATTTGGAAAATAATATAGGTTGGATTCTCAAAGGGGAATGTGAGGTATGTGAGAAAGTGAAGATAAGATCTTAGCATAGACAGGCTACACCCCCACTTCCTCAAGACTAGGTTCAGTTCATCTCTTTCTCCAAAAGTCCATAAAAGTTTACAGCCTTGGGAACTTGAGAGGAGATGGGAGCCATACTCTGGTGCTTTCAGGAATGTCCCATGTCCATAGGCAGCCTTACCTCACCATGCCCTTAGCCTACAAAAGGGAAAGGTAACATAACATGGATGTGGGTGTATAGGAGAAAAGGTGATAAGGAGAAGACAGCAAGTGGAGGAGAAAGCAGAATTGACCTCTGGTAATTACAACTATTACGGGTCAGCAAGAGGGCTGTCAGTCAACTGCCAGGACCACAAGCTACAGTAAGCAGCACATCTTGGTGTGATTCCTGCCTGGAGCTTGGTTTGGAAGCTCAGCTGGAGTGCTCAAAAGCAACACTACTTAAAAGCAAAGCTTGGAACTTGGCCTGGAGCTCAGTAGCAACCAAATAAGAGCAACGACACCCAGAAAGCACCTAATGTCAAAAGTATAAGAACTTTTGGAGGAAGGCAAAGGCCGTATGCCACTTTTCAATCTTTAAACATTTACCTGTTCTTGTTTCTTTTAATATAAATTTTAATATAAATTTTATTAAAAGTTTTAAAGAAAATATAAAAACACAAATACAGAATAAAGAAAGCAAAAAAGAGAGAAAAAGCAAAAGTACAAAAAGAGAGAATAAAAAGAAATAGAAAAAAGCTTCTGATTTCCTTTGCAGCAAATATGTATGATTACAAAGTTATCTCTTACTCTATGATTACAAAAAAGCTCACTTTTTTCTATTATCCAATTTTTCTAATCATCAAAACTGTAAGTCATAACTGCATTTTTTCCCGCTTTATGCAAAAAGTCTATCGGGTTTCCAGTCAACCATAAATGTAGATATTGTCTTTTCTCTGTTCAAAGAAGTTAATTTAGGCATCCCTGCAAGTTCCATCATCTTCACCAATCATTCCTCCATTGTGGGTTGAACCTTTCCACTTTTGAGCATATAATAGCCTTGTTGCAGTTGTCATATATATAAAAAAAGTTCCATGGCTTTTTTCTAGTTGCCTTCCATTAGTCCCAAAAGAAAAGTCTCTGGCTTCCGTTGTACTTGATAACTGATAATTAATGTATGTATTAGTATCTAACATTTTTTGGCTTTTTTACATGTCCACCATACATGATAAAATGTCCCTTCATGTTCATATTTCCAGCAAAGATTCAAAGTGGCTTTATGCATTCTAGACAATTTTTTCTGATAACAAATACTAACAATACATCATTTTATAAAAATTCTCTCTAAGACTAGAACTTAATGTAAATTTCAGTCCTTTCAACCACGGATTTTCCCACTGATCCATTGGTATATTATAGCCAAACATTTTAGCCCATTTTATCATATATTCTCTCACTTGATCTTCTTTTCTCATTTCAGCAAAAGTTTATACATTTTAGCAATAACATGTTCATCATTAGTACATAATTCTATTTCAAATGCAGTCTTACTTTGTTCAAAACCATAAAATCTTTTACATTTACATTTACATTTACCTGTTATTACCTGTCCTTACCTAAGGACTGAGCACCAAATACTTATTTATGTGGCTACATCAACTTGAAAGCCTAAGAGGATGGAGGGTGGAGTTAACAAAGGGCACCAACCTATTGCTGGGGAAGATGTGTGCTACAATAAAGCATTGAATGCAGTTATCTTCTATGCTGTGGTGTGTCCAGTCCTTGGAAAACAAAGAATTCTCACAAGGTTATAAAATATTTTTGGTAGCCTTTTAAAACTTGAAAACTAGATTTTTGGATCCCGGTTTAATCATATCAATTATTTTCTTTAATTACAAGTAAATCTGAATCCAATCTTTTATCCCTGAGAGCTAAATTGTGACTTCTAATAATAACAGCAACAATATCCTTCCTCAACCTCAGGAGTAACTCCAAACTTTGCAATTTTTTATGCTAACACTTATTTCCTGGTACAGCATATGACCTGCAATCTGTTCAGTTAAAATAGATTCTACCCAATGGCTTGATCAATTTATACTCAAAACAAATTGTCATAAACTGCTGCAGCTTCAACAGTTGTTTTTCAGTATTTAATGACTTTTTAAAATAATTTGATTTTTTTTATTCTTATATCTCAAGTAGAATACAAGATAAAATATTTATAAAGGTCTTTTATGTCAGCATGATGGCTACAGTTTAATGTAAGATTTTGTGAAACATGATTATTTGCTCATACAAAAACATTTGTGAATAAGACCAAACCTTGTAGTTGATAAAGAACAATGATTGCATAGACAGCTACAAATTATAAAGTACAGTAAGTGTTAGACTTTATAATAATTGGTAGTAGTGCTACAATAATTGTACTGCTCTAGAAATATCTTTCCATAACAGATGCCCTATAGATATCTTTCATAATAGAATTATGGAATTATGCAAATGGTTATACAATGCACCTGGAAGCAGTGGGTTGAGAAGGCTGGTTGGACGTATATGAAGACCCTAGTAAATCATTTAGCAATAGCACACTTTCCAATTGTGCAAACCTATTTTGTGCATTTCTGTTTTCTTGTATACTTTTCTTCTGTCTTATTTGATCTTTTTTTTTCTTTGCTGCACTTTATCTCCTATTGCAAAGCCTCTTTTCTGTCCCTTACTTTCCTGAAATATCATGTACATCTTAGATCAGTTTTAATTGCAATAAAGATGTGCTGCTTATGGTGGAGACTGGAATGCCAAAGTTGGAATATTGAGAGGTGTAGTTGGACTGTATGGTCTAGAAACTGAAATGAAGCAGGAGAAAGACTATCAATTCTGTCAATCCAATGATTTCTTCACTGATAACACAATCTTCCAACAACCAAAACAATGCCTATATTCATGGGCATCATCAGATAGAGTACACAGAAATCAAACTGATTATTAATCAAACTCCACTTGGTAAAGGAAGTGGAAGAATTTAGTTAGACAAAAGCCCACAATGCAGACAGAACATGGCAAAACAGTCTGGCTCCAGGTTAGAAAAGGAATCATACATGGCTATATACTTTTTCATTATTTATTATATATTCAACCTATATGCTGAATATATGTTGAAGAGTTTGAAGAATATGAGTATGGTTTTAAAATTGGAGGAAGAAACATCAGTAACCTGGTCTATTCTGATAACATTACTTTGATAACTGAAAATGCAACTGATCTGCAATGAGATGAAAGTCAAGGAACACAGTGAAAAAATGAAACTAAGATTAAATATAAAGACCAAACTAATGACAACAAGTATAGCAACCAGCCTTAGAATTGACAACGAAGATATTGAAGTAGTGGACAGTTTCTGTCTTTTAGGATCAACTATCAATGGTAAAGAAATCAGTAATCAAGAAATAAACCACATACTAGCACTAGGAAGAGTAGCCATAAAGGCCTTGGAAAAGATATTCAAATACAGGGATATATTTGTACCTACTAAGATCAGACTTATGGAAACGATGGTTTTCCCTATGACACTCCATGCAAGTAAAAGTTGAATTCCAAAGCAGGAGAGAAAGAGTACTGATAATTTTGTCTTTGGAATTGGAGAAGAGTCTCGGGAATATCATGAAAGAAAACAAACAAAAAGATCATAGAACAAATCATTCCAGAGTGCTCACACAGAGAAAGGTAGAAGAAAAGAGAAAAAGAGGATGAATAATAGCAAGGTGGGTAAACTGAATTACAGTGGCAATGGGTGCACCACTGGAAAACCTGAAGGACTAGGTGGGGGACAGATCATTCTGAAGACAATCTATTTATGTTGTTGCAAAGAATTGACATGATTTGATAGCACATATTCATAAACATCTTAGATCATTAGACCTGGGCCTGGCTAATATTTGTTTGTAAATAATTTCTCCTATGTAAGCTTTTAAAACTTTTATGTAGCAAAAGTAAGTTATAAAACATATTATCCAAAGATCACACCCAGCAGAACAAAAATCTATAGTATACAACAAAATTAAGGCTTGTTATTATATTTTAAATAAATATGAGCAAAGCACATTCTCTTTTTCTAATCACTTTCCCCATCTCTATCACTTTCCTTATTTTGTGTTTTGGATACATTACTCCAAACCCCAAACAAGGAATATATTTGATTTAGAGAAAGAGAGAGAGAGAAAGGTTTATTTTTTTTCCTATCTCACAATTATCTGTCTAGAGTGTACAGCTGTTGAATAAGTTGGCTTATAGTTCATCCATCACAATCAGATTCACTGAATACCCATCCCTCTTTCTACAAGAACCCACATGTAAAGGTAATGATATAATCAGGC